GAGAAATTTCTTTGGTCGTGTTGAAGCCAAAGGGGAGCAAAGATAGCACAACTGCCCATTTCCCTATGTCAATCTCTATTCCCCTTTCCCTGTCCCATTCTTCCCAGGAAAAGATATTGCCTGGACCACAGACTTTCTCTCAAAATGAGTATGTTTGGGGACAGATCAGCTATTAATGACCAGAGCTTGGATTATGAAACTGCTGTTTCAGAGAATCTCAGAGATCGAATTAGGTCTTATTTCAGTCTGTTTTTTCTTTGCTGTAAGAACTGGCAAGAACAACATAGAAAAGAACAAGTTGATTTTTAGTCATGGTTTCAGAGGTTCAGTTCATGATCAGCCAACTCCATAGCTCTGGGCCCAAAGTGAGGCAGAACATCATGATGAAAGGGCTTGGAGGAGGAAAGCAATGCTGAACATGGCAACAGGAAGCAGAGAGAGACCTGCTCAACAGGGAGAAATATAATGCTCAAAGGCACACTGCTAGTGACCTACTTCCTCCAGCCACACCCTACATCTCTATAGTTACCACCCAGTTAATCCATTGGTGGGTTAAGCCACTGATTAAATTACATCTTTCATAATCTAATCTTTTTATCTCTGAACATTCTTGCATTGTCTCACACATGAGCAGGGAGATACCTCATATCTAAACCATAATATATCTTAAAGAAGAATCTACCTCATCAATATCCCCAGCCTTCCTTGATGGGCAAGCCTTTCTATCCAACCAATGAGCTCTAAGTCTCACAGAAGAATGACTTCACTTATCTCCTTCTGATCACTTCTAGACCATGAAACCCATTTTTATGAGAAACAAATCTCATGAATATTAAATCTGAAGTGGTTTAATTTCTCTTGAGAACTAGTCAGTAGAAAATAACTGGCTCTTCTACTTTATCTGCATATTTGATTTTTTTTGGATTCTACTCGCCTTATTCCTTTTAAAGGAAAATTCACTCAATATCTACTTGGCATTTGCAACAACATGGATGAACCTGAACAATATTATGGTAGGAAATGGACCAGTTACAAAAAGAGGAATCTGCATGATTTCACTTATGTGAAGGATCTAAAATAGCCAAACTAAAAACAAGCAAAGAGTAGAATGGTGGTTGTCAGTGGATAGAGAAAGAGGAAATGAAGAGGTATTGCTTAGTAAGACAGAAAGTTTTACTTATGCACGATGAAGAAAGTCCACAGATCTGCTGTACAATATTGTACCTATCATTAACATTACAGAATTGTGTATTTAAATTTTTGCTGAGGGTTGATTTCCTGTTAAGTATTCTTATCAAAACACATACAAAGGTGCACACGGAAAACTTTTGTAAGTGATGGATATGTTTATCACTTGATCCTTGTTATGGTACTGTGGGTATATGCATACATTCCAATTTTATCAGATTGAATGTATGAAATGTGAAGAATTTTTTATGTAAAAAATTGCTATATAAATTGTTACTGCTTTCTACTAGCAATTTATATTTTAAGGCAATATAATATAGAATCTACTATGTGTTATCATTTAACTTTTGAAACAACTTCAAAAGGCAGATCTAATAATTTCTTGTCATATCAAGCAAATTACTTGAAGCCAAGAGAGGTTAAACAATTTTCCTCAGGTGTGAGCATGTGCATGCACACACACTGTTTTGATGTAGAATAAACACTTACTCACTGCACTATACTGCTATTATTGCCTGTACATACTTTTTCCTACACCATGCTTAAAGTTGCATTGTAAATAACCTCATTAAGATATTGATCCCTCAACTTGCAATTTATTACTTAAGTATATCTATTCTCCAAACACTTTAAATCTTAAGTGAAATAAATGATATCTGACAAAATATTTTAAGTCAAGGATGTGTTGGGAAATAAAGAGGAAGCCCATGAAAAATCATAGAAATTACTTAGTAGCACAATAAAAAATAACCAAACATAAAAAATGGAAAACTTATAAGTCAAGACAAGGAAGAATTTCATGAGTCATCTTATGACTCACTCTCAAATCTGCTAAAAATATATATACATATGTATACACACATATGCATATGCACATGACATTTCATTTGGAGAAGAGAAATTTTTAAATCTTGAGAAAAAAAATATTCAAATATACAGCAAAACAGTGAGGAGGGGAATAATAAGGGTAGATACTGGGAAATCAATTGGAGCAAACTACACTTCATTCATTTATAATATGTCAAGATAAAACTTCAGACCAATATCTCTGATGAACATAAATGCAAAAATTCTGAATAAAATACTGGCAAATTGCACCCCAAAACACATTGAAAAGATAGTGCACCATGATCAAGTGGATTTTATTCCAGGTATGAAAGGTTGGCTCAACATATGGAAATCAATAAATGTAATATGTCACATAAAAAGAGTTAAAGACAAGGACCACATGATTATCTCAATAGTACAGAAAAAGCATTTGAAAAATTACAGCATCCATTCATGTTTAGAACACTGGAAGAACTAGAGATAGAAGGAACACACCTCAAAATTGTAAAGGATATATATATATATATAAAATAGCCAAGGCCAACATCATTCTAAATGGAAAAATTGAAAGCATTTCTTCTAAAAACAGGAACCAGACAAGGATGCCCACTTTTATCACTTCTATTTGACATTGTCTTTGAAACTCTAGCCAGAGCCATTAGGCAAAAGAAAGACTTTAAAGGGATATGAATAGGAAAAGAAATCTCAGATTATGTCTCTTTGCCTATGGCACTTTTATCACTTTTATCACTTTTATCACTTCTATTTGACATTGTCTTTGAAACTCTAGCCAGAGCCATTAGGCAAAAGAAAGACTTTAAAGGGATATGAATAGGAAAAGAAATCTCAGATTATGTCTCTTTGCCTATGGCATGATTCTACTTTTAGAAAACCCAAAACAATTCTACCAGTAAACTTCTAGAACTTACAAATGAATTCAGCAAAGAAGCAGGATACAAAAATTAATACCCATAAATCAATTGTGTTCCTATACATCAGTGATTAGGAAAATTATTCCATTCACAATAGCCTCAAGAAACAAAGAAAAAAACATAAAATACTTATGAATCAATCTAACAAAAAAAAAAGGCAAAGGGTATCTACAGTGATAACTACAGAACACTAAAGAAAGGAATTGAGGAAGACCTTAGAAGATGGAATGACCTCCTATGTTCTTTGATAGGCAGAATAGCTATGTTCAAAAGGGCCATACTCCAAAATGCAATTCCTGCTAAAATTCCAATGACGTTCTTCATAGAAATAGAAAAAGCAGTCATGGAATTCATTTGGAAAAATAAGAGACCCAGAATAGCTAAATCAATCCTTAAGAACAACAAAGCAGGAAGTATCACAATACCACAGCATAAATCGTACTACAGAGCTATAATAACAAAATAGCATGGTATTGGAACTAAAGTAGGCAGGAAGACCAATGGAACAGAAAAGAGGACACAAAGGCAAATCCACATAAATGTAGTTATCTCATGCTACACAAAGGCACCAAAAGCACACACTGAAGAAAAGATATGGTGCTGGGAAAACTGGAAATCCATATGTAATAGGATGAAAGTTAACCCTTATCTCTTATCCTGCACAAAAATCAACTCAAAGTGGACCAAAGACTTAGGAATTAGACAAAAAACCCTGTACCTACTAGGAGAAATTGGAGGCCCAACACTTCAACATATTGGCTCAGGAACAAACTTCCTTAACAAGACTCCTAAAGCACAAGAAATAAAATTAAAAAATAGTAAATGGGATGGCATCAATTTAAAAAGCTTCTTCACATCAAAGGAAACAATCAAGAACAAGAGAGAGCCTTCAGAGTGGGGGAAAATCTTTGCCACCTGCACCTCATATAGGGTGTTAATTTCCAGGATATACAAAAAATTCAAATAACACGCACACACATACACACACACACATACACACACACACAACAATCAATAAATGGACAAAGGAACAGAACAGAACTTTCTCAAAAGAAAAAATATGAATGGTAAACAATGTTTATTAGAAAAAAATGTTCAACATTTCTAGCTCAACATCTCTAGCAATTAGAGAAATGCAAATCAAAACAACATTCATTCCATCTCACTCCAGCACTCCAGTCATAATGGCAACCAACTATCAAAAATATGTAACAATAAATGAATGTTGTCAAGGATGTGGGGAAAAGGGAATGTTCATACATTGTTTATGGGGCTGCAAATTGGTACAACCTCTCTGGAAAGCAGTATGGAGATTCTAAAACATGGAACCAACATTTGATCTAGTTATCCCACTCTCCAGAATATATCTAAAGAATTTTAAATCAGCATACTATAGTGATGCAGCCATATCCATGTTCACAACAGCACAATTAACAAGAGCTAAGCTATTGAACCAACGTAGATGCCCATCATCAGATGAATGGATAAAGAAATTGTGGTATATATATGCAATGGAATATCACTCAGCCACAAATAAGAATAACTTTATGACATTTGCCAGTAAATGGATGGATCTGAAGATTATCATATTAAGTGAAACAAGCCAATCTCAGAACAAAGGCTGAATGTTTTTGCTGATATGTAGAAGATAAACCATAAAAATGTGGGAAGAGAAAGAAGAGGATTTCATTAGATTAGACAAAGGGGAATGAAGGGAAGGAAGATGGGATAGGGATAGGAAAGACAGTAGAATAAATCAAACATAATTTTCTTAGGTACACACATGAAAATACCTAAGTGAGTAACACTGTCATGTCTACCCACAAGAATAGGGTCCTGATTAGAAGAAAATATAGTCTATGCTTGTATATTTCTATCAAAATGGATTATACTACCATGTATAATTAAGAAGAAATAACAAAAATAGAAAAAATAAATCCTAATATTATGTATAACTATTATTAACTAATAAAAAATAAAAAGCACAGCATAGATAGGAAAATAAATTGGCTAGTCTTCTTTTCTTGAAAAAAATTTAGAAAAATTGATCCACGGCCGCCGCCGCCATGTCTTCCGGGGCCAGCGTGAGCACCCTGCAGCGCCTGGTGGAGCAGCTCAAGCTGGAGGCCAGCGTGGAGAGGATCATGGTCTCTCAGGCTGCGGCAGAGCTTCAACAGTACTGCATGCAGAATGCCTGTAAGGATGCTCTGCTGGTTGGAGTTCCAGCTGGAAGCAACCCCTTCCGAGAGCCCAGATCCTGCATTTTACTCTGAAGACTTGGAAGAAGTTTGTTGAGAAATGCCTTCGAGCACAAAGTAATGAATGACTGACTCCAAGTCTCAAGAAAACACTTTTCTTTAGCCAAATGACTGAGACATTTCAGACCTTTCCAGTGTCCTGATCTTACAGCCAAAATTCTACAGAAATTAATGATTTTCTACTCAAATAAGGAAACTGAGTGAAGAAATAGAATTGTTTTAAGTAATAATGGCTTGGTTCTTCTGAAGAAGTGCTTTGTATTAAGATAAAAACCTTACCACCAAATATACCAAAATACACCTCTTTAATAAGTGAGTTACTGGTGTTGCTATACCTAGGATATCATGTATGTTTTATTAACTGGATGTTTACATTTTAGGAAGGAAAACACTTTTGTTTATTAAAAAAATGGATTATTTGTAATTTGTTGTTCCTAAGATTTTTATACTATAATAAAATTTGTTCTATCATAAATTTACAATTACTAAATGAAGACAAGAAAGTATAAAATTGTGGGGGAAGAATAGACTTTACTAATCGAATGATGCCTTGATTTTTTTCTAAATAAGATTGTTTTATTTAACACAAGAGGTGTTGTTTAGAAAGATTCATGTTATGATATATATTAAGTTGTCCCATTTTATGTATGAAGCAGATTTGATCTCTTTTTAAGTTCCTTTACTTTATAGTTGTGGTTGTACTTTTAAAAAGATACTACATTATTTCATGCCTTTTAAAAAATGTTTCAAGTAGGACCTACATACAGAACATTGCAAATGATTGAAAACAAAGTTATGTGAAAATATTATGACCTAAAAGAATTCTTCATGTCACAAGGGTTTGACTTTGATGATGTGCCTTTGATTTAATTTGGGATACTTTTAGAAGGATACTTAGTGTTTGTAATAATCTTTGAAGATCTTGGAAATAAATTCTGTTTAATTCATCAAAAAAAAATTGATCCACATGTGTCCAAGCACATTAAAACACGTATTGCCATTTACTTATAAAATTTGGAAATTATATTCAATGGCTTTTTCTTTTGTCATTTACTAATAGATATGTTCTAAACAAAAAAAATCTATGCAAAATATTTACTGAAGACTAATAGGGAATTAGAATATGAAATATTTTAACTGCAAGTTATATCATTTTAGTCCTTCATTTAGTAATGCCTAACTATGTCTTTGGCAATCTTATTTTGCAATAAATAAATTGCTAGAGTTCTTATAGTCATAAGATTTAGGTTTTTGAGTAATATTTAAAATAATACCATATGTCTAACTAGTTTAAAAATGGATTAAATGTGACATTTGCCACTTCTCTAAGATATTAACTAATGCCAACAACTTGGCTTTACTATTTTGAAAACAGTTTCTACATGTTATATATTCTACTAACATGAAAGACATAGAAGATGAAATATCTTCATCCAAGTGCTGTAATTTTAAGAGGTTAAAATATGCTGTAAACCCTCATTTTATTTCTTGCTTCCTCAAACAAAAATAAAATGGGGGTCCCAGGTCTCTAATGTAGATCCAGGTTTCATTACCTATGATTATGGAATAGGCACAGTAGGGGGTGAGTGTATTACTGAATGCTAACGCATAGTCCTGTGTTCCTTCACAAAGATGTTATACATAATGGATTATCGTCTCCAAACAGAATGATAAGTTTCCTGCTAACGGACCACAGACTTACACAACACAACATGACAGTCAAATATTTGTCATATATATATTCTAAATAGAGGGTAGCATTTGTGTTAGTCAGATTTATGTCTCTGGGACAAAATACCTGACATAAACAACTTAAAAAGAAGGAAATGTTTAGTTTGGCTCCTAGCTTCAGCCTTGGTTGGTTGGCACAGCAGTAGATCATGGTGTGGGATGTGGGGGAGAGGAAACTGCTCAGCTCATATCCAGGAATCAAAAGAGAGGGAGCAGAAGGGCCAGAGTCCCAATATCCCTGCCAGGAGAAACCCCCAATGTGTGCATTTCCTCCCACTCCACCTCTTAAAGTTTCCACCAGTTCTCAACCACAGAATGGCAGCCAAGCTTGCAGTAGAGGGACCTTGAGGGACATTGAAGATCCAAACCATAACAGCATCCAATAAGGTTGATATTTAAATTACCAGTTGATTAAATTAAATTACCAGTCTCTATTTAAACCATGTAATGTTTTATATATCCACATAAATGGTGTTTTCTTGCTATTGCTATGTTAGAGTACAAGTAGGACAAAGCATTAGAAAATATATAAATTAATTAATACGTATACAGTTGATCTTCCATTTCTGTACATTTTGCATCCATAGAATCAACCAACTGCACATTGAAAACATTCATAAAAAATTCATGTACACACTTTGTTTCCTGTCATTATTTCCTAAACAGATTAGTATAACAACTATGTACATATCATTTACATTGTATTGGTTAATATAAGTAATCTAGGAGTGATTTAAAATATGTAAGAGGATTATAGATTATATAAATTCATAGATTATATGCAAATACTATGCTACTTTATATAAACAACTTGAAGTCACAGATTCTGCTACCATAAAGGTACAGGAACCAATACCCTGTGTAATAGCTTGGTTTTTAAAAGTCCCCCCCAAACCATGTGTTGAAGCATGGGAAACCATCCTGTGGCACTATTGAGAAGGGACAAAACCTTTAAAAGGTAAGGCCTAGTGAAAAGAAGTTGTGATGTTGTGAGTGTGTGCCCTTGAAAGGGATATTGAGTACCCAACACCTTCTCTCCCTTTACTTCCAAATCACCATGAGATGAACAAATTTCATCTTCCACACATGCTTGCAATGATATATACTCACCACAGACCCAATAGCAATAGGGCCAAGTGACAATAGACTGAAATATCCGAAACAATGAGCCAAAATAAACCTTTCCTCCTTTTAAGTTCTTTATCTCAGGTGTTTTGTCATAGCAACAGAAAGCTAACTAACAAATATTGAGGGAAGAATGTATACATACATACACATTCTTTTTCCACCCATTATATACAAGGATTGTCCATGAATCTTTGCATGCATCTTTTAGAGGTATTCTGTATTTATTGCATTTTTTAATATGCAACTAGACACAAGCTACTTACTTTAGAGCATCCTACAAGAAGTACATTCAAGATAACCATTGCTTTACATCAATGCCTTCAGAAAACACAGTCAATCTGAAAGAATCCGAATTCCCTTAAGCCTCACTGTTAGTATTTTCTGAGGTTTAAAAAATATCTTATTCATCTTTCTTTCACTAACATGAAGACTGGCACACAGTAAGCACTTAATAAATATTTATTCAAGAATAAATGGCAAAAGATTTGTTATAGTCAGAACTTGATCTTTGGTGATCTTTTATCATTGAGTGTGAAATAACTCCACATATAAAATCATGGGACATGTAAAATAAATCTATATTTTTAAAAATATGCCCTTCGAATTTTTTTAGTAATTTTCAATTATAAGTTGAATATTTCCTTATTTTTTATAATGTATGAATCATTGTTTTTTCATCTTTATGCTTCATAAATATTCTGCTACTTTGGCAACCAATCCTCTATGATTAATGGCCAGCACTGAGATTCAAATTAGTTCTTAATTTATCTAATCTTTAACCTAAATGTCCAGGGAGATATTTATTACTATAGAGTGAATGATTTTCTAAATGAATTTCTTGTTTTCTTCTTCTAACATTTAAATAATTATCATTTTAATGAAACAAAAAATATAGCTAAACATTTAAAGACAGAACATTTTTCTTGAATTTCACCAAAGTCAGTTTTATAATACTGATGATGATAAATGGTCTGACTCCTTCACTTCATTGATGATGATCACTTATTACATGATAATAAATCTTTATGTAGAATTTTTCTTTTCAAACTGGCTGGCATTTAATAAACCTTAGCAGGAATCAACTAGCCCTAAAAAGGAAAAATTAACCATTTATTCTTTAGATTGCTTGTTTGAACTGGTAAACTAAAATAGTGTTCTATAAATTACTCAACAACAGAAATTGAACAATAATGAAAATGATAATTATTAACAAATGAAACTGATATGTAAAAGTTCCAGATAAATTGGCACAAAAATATAGCTCATAAATTGCTGAAATGCAATTATAAACATGATAAGTTTAAATTTAAGAGACAAATTAAATTTGATTTTAATCTATTGTTAAACTTTTGTTGCTTTTTCTTTAAAATTTCTAAATCCCATTCCTTCTAAATATAGTCTTTAATTTATAAATGTGATAAAATATTTAACTTAAGGAAATTTTAATAAAATAATAATAAAAACTCAGCATTGAAATGTCAACTGCTCCTTTCTTTGTAATTTTTGCAGTTTAAGTTAAGGAAAAAAACAAAAATACAAAAATAAGCAATTTTAAAATCATATATAACTTACACTCTTTTCATTAAAGATTATTTTCACTTTTGTTAATTATAAGTCCTAAGCTGTGTACAGGTATTTTTTATTGATCCCTAATGAAAACCCTATTCCAATCAATTGGAAAAATAAAACAAAAAGACATTCCAATGAAAAAGAAAGAATTAAAACTTGCAGCAATATTCCAATAGAATAATCTTATACAAAGAAAACCCTATAGATCTCCTAGCAGTCTAGCAAAAGATCAACATAAAAAATCAGTTACATTTCTGCACACTAATAATCAAGTATCTGAAAAAAAAGTTGATGAAACAATAGCATTTAAAATATCATCAGAAGAGTAAAATTTTCAGGAATAAACCAAGTATTTTATTTAAATATTTTAAATTATTACTAAAATATTAAAAATATTTAAACCAATAAAAGCAAGAAAGTTAAAGATTTATATGCTGAAAACTATAAAACACTGAAGAAAGGAACTAAATAAGACAAAAATAAATGAAAAATATCACATATTTATGGATTGCAAGAAACATTATTATTAAAATAGTCATAATTCCTAAACTTATCTATGAATTCAATGCAACCTGTATCAAAATCCTAATGACATTTTTTACAAATAGAAAAAAAGATGTGAAAATTTATATGAATCACAAAAGACTCTGCAAAGTTAAAGTCATCTTGAGATAGAAACAAAGTCAGAAGTTTCATAATTTCTGATTTCAAAATCAAAACAGAATGGCACTGACATTAAAAACAAACACATTACTCACTGAACAGAATACAGAGCCCAGAAATAAAACCAGGCATATATAGTCAACTAGTCTTCCCCCATGACTGCTAAGAATAAACAATGGGTAAAGCATGGTTTCATTAATAAATGGTGTTAGAAAAACTGGATATCCTTCTACAAAAGAATGAAACTCGAAGCCTCACTAAAGCTAGGTATTACTAAAACTGGAGTCGAGACTTAAATTTAATACCCCAAACTGCAAAA